TGTGTGTGTGTGTGTGTGTGTTTAGTAATTGAAAATCACGTGAAAACAATTGCAAAAGGTAAGTTATTCTTGCCATTCTTTCTACTTCCTGGACATTTTATAATGACTCTGGTCCTCCAAAAATAATCTTCTTTCGCCCGTTTTCTCCTTTCCTCTTTTTCTCCCGCCTTTCCCCCTTCCTTTCTCTGTAATCCAACTCCCACTCCCTCTTCCCCCTCACCCCACCTGTGTTTCAGGATTGTTCAGTAGGCAAGAATCACCTACATCCTAGGCTGAATAGAAACAACCCAGCCTTAGAACAATAGGGCTTCAGGACCATGGAGAGCTGCACATGAGTCTACCTGTCTTTATGCTTTCTAGGGCATTAACAGGTGCTGTGACTTCAACCTCCATACAAGGCACTATTCTTTCTTCACTTGAAAAATTCTCCCTCACCCTTTCAGCTTCATCTACTCAGATGTCACCTCCTCCTGGAAGCCCTCCCAGGTCATTCCCCTCCCCACCACCCTACTGTGCCAAGTAAATGCATCCTCCCCTTTCCCAGAATGCCCTAAGTTGTCCTTATCATTCCTCTCTTCTACAAATACTTCAATGTGTACTTTGTACCAGCAACTCATCTAGGCTCTGTGGACACAAATGAGAGCATGCTTGTAAAGGTCCGTGTATTTAGGAGTTTACATTCTAGTAGGAGACGGAAAACGCGTAAGATGAAAATAGCTATGAATCAAATATAAAGCATGCAAAGTGATGGTATAGTGGGGGCACGGCAACATTACATACTGTTGTCAGAGAAAGAAAGTCTGAAGAAAGAAAGTTCGAGCTCTTTGAGTATCAGGGGGAAGAGACTTCCAAGCATGGAGGGTTGATGAATGTAAAGTCCTCATGTGGGGCTGAGATGAGCATTTTCAAGGAATAGAATAGGCCAGTGTGGCTGAGGTTGTAAGCAATGGAGAGAGTGTTAGTGGATTAGGAAATGAGGTCAGAGATCTGAGCATTAGCTAAATCCTGGAAAACCTTATAAGCTAGCACGGAGAGTTTGGATGTACTCTATGTGCAATGGGAATCCATTGAGCACAGAAGGGATTGAAGCAGGTGTGTATTTTTGACTGATGGGTAATTGGGGCTGTTTCATATTTGACTGAATGTGAGCTCTCACCTAGGATTCAGCCACATCTTCAGTGCTCAGTGCAGGGCTTGGCAATATAGGGTGTCTGTAAATGCTTGATGAGCAAATGAATGAGCAGATGCATAGAACATGTTGAGGGTCAGGGGTTAGTATGGGCTTTACATGGGAAGCATGCTTCTTATGACCTGGAAAAAGAGAGTCAATGTCATTCCAGCTTCCTCCCTGCTTCTCTCACCAACTATATCCAGCCAGTCATCTGGTTCCATTGATTCTTCTGTCGATATCCTTCTCTGTCAAAGCCATGCACTTGCCTTTATCTTTCCAACCCCAGCCCCAGCTCAAGCCCCAGCTGCTCTTGCCCAGAGCTTATGCATAAGCTTCTTCCTTGGTTTGCCCATTTCCTGTTTCTTTCCTGCTAGTCCATCCCTGAAGGATGCTTAACACCCAGGTGACCCTGTCCCTCCTCTGCCCCAACCCTCCCACTGCTTTCTCCAGAACTGAATGCCAATGCCACTATTCAACAGCTCTTAGGCAACTCCTGTCTCTCTCTCTCTAAGTCTTGGGAACATGAACTAGTTGGACTAGATTATCCTGTTCCCAGATCTAAGTTACTGGTACTGTCATCCTTCCCTCTCCTTTTAAATCTCCTTCATTTTTATGATTTTTTTTTAAGTAGGCCCCACGCCCAGCATGGAGCCCAACACGGGACTTGAACTCACGACCCTGAGATCATGACCTGAGCTGAGATCAAGAGTTGGATGCTCAACCGACTGAGCCACCCAGTGCCCCCATCTTTACGATTTTTTAAAACTTTTTATTTTTTCTTTATGCTATTTTTTTAAGCAATCTCTACGCCCAATGTGGGGCTCAATCTCATGACCCCGAGATCAAGAGTTGCGTGCTCTCCTGATTGAGCCAACCAGGTGCCCCATTTTTTTGGTGATTTTTCATTATGGTGGGGCAGTATAATGTCACGGTGAAGGCCTGGTGGGAATCCTGCTTCCGCTATGGAGCAATTTAACCTCTAGCTGCTTCTGTTTCCTCAGCTAGAGAATGACAATAACAATGACATCTGCCCTAGCAGGTAAAAAAAAAAGAAATACCTTAATTTACGTAAAGCACTTAGAACTTCCCCCAACCATGTCTCTTGATTATTTTGGTTGCTGCTATCACCACTACTATGGATGTACAGTACATATGTACATGTCTACCAGGCACTGGGTCGGCCCTTCACATCTATGATGGAGACCAGCGGTCAGCAACCTACCAAGTGTCCCAGCACCTGGTTTTGCATGGTTTTAAAGCTAAGCATGGTTTTTACATCTGTAAAAGGTGAGGGGGTTGGGGTGGGGGACAAAATGAAAGAAGAAGAATATTTCATGGCTCATGAAAATTACATGGAATTCAAATTTCAGGGCCCATAGGTAGGATCACTGGCACACAGCCATGCCCATCGCCTCACCTCTGCTTCCTTTGGTATTACAATCCTATGGCTCAGAAAGCCTGAAACATTCACTATTTGGCCCTACACAGGTTTGCCAACCCTTGACCAGGATTTGTCCTCTTGACAACTCCTTCCCCCTTCCTTTCTCTGTAATCCAACTCCCACTCCCTCTTCCCCCTTCACCCCACCTCTGTTTCAGGATTGTGCAGTAGGCAAGAATCACCTACATTCCAGGCTGAATAGAAACAACCTGGCCTTAGAACAATAGGGTTTGGGGACCACGGAGAGCCCATGCAGTTCAGGCGAAGAATTTGCACCCAGGTCTTTCTAGGTTCACAGCAGCATGAACTGTCAGGCACCTCACCCCACAACCTTGAAAGCGCATGACAGACTCCTTGAAGTGGGGTGCACAGGCCATAGTCTATGACATGAAATCGAGGAAGGGCTTCAGGAAGTGGGGTTCCGTCCCCCCAAATTTCTCTACATCAGAGGCCTGACCTCCAGCCCTGACAGCACCATTGATCCTCAGCCTGACCATGGGAAGTCAGGTCCTGGGACATCGCAGGAGCATGAGTGTGGGTTTTGGGATGAGAACGCCCTCTGGGCCAACCGCCCTCTACCACTGAGCTATGTTGCCCCTTCTGTGAACAGCAAAAATGGGATCTTCCTTCTAGTGTTTTGGGTGGATTGAATTAGAGTCGCCATGCTTCCTACCCTTGTCCCCCTTTCTCTCTCTCTAGGCCACTATTTTTCCATATGAAAAATGATAAGACCGGGGCGCCTGAGTGGCTCAGTTGGTTAAGCGGCTGCCTTCAGCTCAGGTCATGATCCCAGGGTCCTGGGATCGAGTCCCATGTCGGGCTCCCTGTTCAGCGAGGAGCCTGCTTCTCCCTCTCCCTCTGTCTCCCAGCTTGTGCTCTCACTCTCTCTCTCTGTCAAATAAATAAATAAAATTAAAAAATAAAAGAAAAATGATAAGACCTTTCTGCTCTGACACTCCAGGATGGTGATATTGTACGGGTCTTATTTTAGCTCCGTGTCCAGCTCCACACGCTGCGATTCAAGTTAACAGGGAGGTTGCACGCTGGTTTCTCTGGAAAAGGTCTCATCAGGTTAGGTTGGAGGCACGGGGGACGTTTAGCTGCGTGAGGAGCAGGAACAAGCCTGGGGATAGTCAAAGATCCATCTTCAACTCTTTGCGGGGCCAACTCTAAAGAGGGACCCAGGTGCCGGCCCCAGGGGACAGAATGGAAATGAGCCATAAGCGGGGTTTGTTCATAAAATATCAACTGAATGAAAAGGACCCAAACGGAGTTTAATGAAATGATGCTGAATTAATTCGAACGGAGTCAGAATGGACTGCGGTGAATTGGACCAGACGGATGAGTTAAATGTGTTAGGGCCGGGTTGACCTGGCCTGACCTGAACCGGGAGGGACTGAATTGGACAGGACACAGTGCTGACACTGGAGGTGGGTGACACCTGAGAAAGAACTCTGCTCTGGAGCTCAGGACACTTGGTCCCCCGGCTCCAACTCAGGCTGGTGTCTTGGGCAACTCCCTGCACAACTGTGGACCTCCGTGCCCCCATTTTATCAAGTGAGTGCTAATAATAACTCTGCGGCAGAGATGTTATGGGAAGGGTGTGCGATCGCTCATGCACAAGAGCCTCGTATTTCAAAAGAAAAAAATAAAAAACAAAGACAAATACTGCAATGTAGCCAACGACATGCAAGGTGACATATTCAGAGTGAAGTGTATGGACACTTACAACTCCCACTGAACTGCATAAAGAGATAATAATAAGGTGGACTGATGGATGGGCAGGAATATAGACAGATGGACAGATACAGGACAAAGCCAGTCTAGTAATAGGGTAATGGTTGACTCTAAGTGGTGGGTACATGGATGCTCACTCCAAAATTCTTTCCACTTTTCTGTTTGAAAATTTTTCAAATAAAATGTTGCACAGGAAATAAAAAGCCCTGAAATATGTGAACTGCTAAAGTATCAGGATGGGTGAAAAAATTCAGCCTCTGGAGGTGAACGGCAAGTGTCTGAGTCCCAGCTCTGTGTCTCCCGGGTTGTGCGGACCTGAGCAATGACCTCAGCTCCCTGAGCGTCTGTTTCTGTATCTGTACAATGGGACTATTAATAGCATTTCCCTCACAGGGTTGTGGGAAGTATCAGAACAGAGCCAAGCACCTAATCAGCACCTAATAAACACTCGCTATGATTGGGTCCTCCCGACAAGCTGTGAAATGGGTGCTTGCTATCTCCATTTCACAGAAAAGGAAAATGGGGCTCAGAGAGGTTGGGCAACCCCTCCAGGATCACACAGCAAGGAAGCGGCTTTCTTAGTGGAGGAGGGACCGCAGATTCCTGGAACGGAAAACAGTCCCCAGGCCCTAAGTCTTTCCGTTGGGCTCACCCGAGAGGATGAAGAAGATGCCAGAAACGAAGGCCAGAATGGTCCTCTGTGGGCGGATGTGGCCGATGTTACTGATGACGAAGGCCGTGAACACTAGGAAGAGACTGACCATGGGGAACGGGGTGGCCGTGCGCACCGTCTCTGAGGGAAAGGTAAAGGGAGAGACAAGGGGTGAGGGGGACTCTGGGGGGGGTGACACCTCCCCATTCCCCTGGCCTCTCCTCCTGCACCGGCCCCGCCCCTTTATGTAGCTCCTCCCCTTCCCGATACTTCCATTGCTAACCCCACCCCTTCACCAGGCCACACCCCTTGAGTTTGACCCCACCCCGTTCCAGTGGACTCCACCCACTGCCCAGGCCACGCCCCATCAACCTGGCTCCTCCTCTTCACCCAACCACTGCCTGCTTTCAAGCCCCCACTCCACCTCCACCCCACCCCTTTCCTGGTGCTGCCCTTTCTCCCAGGACTTGCCCCCCTTTGTCTAGGTCCCCTGCTTCCCCCTCACTCAGAATATTCTCCGTGTTCTCCGTCACCAAGTTGATCTCCGGTTCAAGGAAATACTCCGAGGCCACACAGCGACCCTTCTCCCGGCCTGGGGGTAAGATACGAAGGCAAAGCTGGATGAGGGCCTCCTGAGCTCTGGAGAGGCAGTGAGGGGCAGGTGGCACAGTGGGAGACCCTGGGATGGGTATGTGAGGCTGAATCCAGGGGTTACTGTCTATATTATTCTTAGGGGGTCAAGAAGGGGATGCACAGGAGGTCTGGGAGTTCCTCTTCCGAGCTTCCCTGGAGACCCATGGATGGAGGACAGGGCTGGAACCCTGGGTCCCAAAGGGGTGGGGGGGGCCGTGGGCGAGGACTCCTTAATCCCTGAAGAGGATTGGGGGGGATTCCAAGGAGGAAGATCTCTGTGGTCGCTGGGGGCGGGGAGCGCTGCATTTTTTATTCTGCCCATTCAACACTGGAACTGTGCAGGACACAAGCTCTGATGCTAGACTCTTGCTTCTAAGAGTGGACTCTCCAGGGATTAGGGACTTGGCATGGGGGCTCTTAGATCCAGGGATTAAAGGGCTAGAAATCGGGTCTCCAGGAAGAAATTTGTCTCTCCAGGAGAGAAACAGGATCCGTTTCTGGATTTCTGGAACCCAAGGGATGGAACTGTGGATAAGGACCCTCAGGTCCCAGGCAAGGCAGAGACAGTTGAATGGAGGACACGTGGCGTCTGTACCTGCGAAGAAGCAGACTCGCCAGAGGCCGGCATGCAGTGCCATCTTGACCTCCGTGGTCTGGTTCTGCGGCAGCACCGTTCCCTCCTCCATGTACAGCCAGTAATCAGTGCTGACCGCGATGCCCACGAGCAGCAGGCCACACGCACCAAACACGCTGCTCAGCAGGGTCAGGGCGCGGCTGCTGCAGTGACTCATCCTCAGCGGCGGGGGGCGCCCTGCGGGGCCTGAGACACGGGAAGCTGCTGCCTTGGAGAGCCCTGAGGGGACTAACTAGAGTCCCCAACCCCATGCAGCCACCTGGGAAGCCACCTGGGACACCGATCCCAAGCCAGAGACACCATTTCTTAGACTGAAACTTCTCAAATCTGACCTCTGTGCCCTAACCCATGACCCCATTTCTGCATTTGAACCAGTGACATCAACTGTTGACCCTCAACCCCAGGACTGGACTTCCCAAACCTGACACTTGTGTTCTGGCTCTGGATCCTGATGAGAGACCCACCACACCAGATCCCTGACCCCAGGATAAGATTTCCAACCATAACCTTCAGCCCAGATCCAGAGATTGAACCTTAGCTCCAACCATGCGCCTGGACTTGGGTCCCAAATATCATAACGCTGACTAGAAACTCAACATCCATATTCTCAATGCCAGAACCAGGCCCTCCAACCCTAACCTTATGCCCTGACCAGAGACCTTAACCCTAGACACCAGCCCTCACCAGAATCCTTAACCTTGAGCCTGGACTCAGAAACTATTACATGGATCAGACATTTCAACACTAGAACCAGGGGCACCTGGGTGGCTCAGTCGTTAAGCGTCTGCCTTCGGCTCAGGTCATGATCCCAGGGTCCTGGGATCAAGCCCCTCATCGGGCTCCCTGATCAGCAGGAAGCCTGCTTCTCTCTCTCCCACTCCCCCTGCTTGTGTTCCTTCTCTCGCTGTGTCTCTCTCTGTCAAAAAATAAAAATAAAATCTTTAAAAACAAAACAAAACAAAACACTAGAACCAGGCATATTCCCCCAATCCTGACTCCTGGCACCCTGACCCCTTTCTTTTGGACCTTGCTAAATAATTACCAGAAATCCCCCAGTCCCCTAACTAAGGATCCTACTAACCAAGGACCCACTAATCAAGACCTGAGCAGAGATCTAAACTTAAGTTTAAATCCCTGGACTCTTACGTTGACCTTTAATACCCAATTCTAACACCAGGACCAGGACCCATGACCTTCTAACTTTGATCCTGTGCCATGACCTCAATTTGGTACCCCAATCTGAGTTCACGGCTCATGACTCAGATCTCAGGTTCCAGAACCCTAATTCCCCCCATCCCAGATCCGGGCAGGCCCCTGAACCTAGGATGCTGGGACTCCATCTCAGACTGCTGGATCCCAGTGGATCCCAGAACACTGGGATCCCGAGATCTGGAGCCTGGATTTTGGCTAGAGACTCCAGAATGTCAAAACCATGATCTAGGACCCCCTTTCCCTCCAACTCAGAACCCTAACCAGAGTACCCTAGACCATCCTTGAACCTAGGGATCAGCGTTCTGAACACTAAAATTCCAAATCAGGAAGCCCAGGATCCCCATCCCTCTCATGGGCCATCACAAGATCCCCAAATTCCCTACTGGAGATTCTGGACTCCAACTTCCACACTAGGACTCTCAATTACAGACCCTCTTCAACATCTAGCCTGGAACTCTGACCCCTCTAACACCAGGCCCTCAAAACAAGAGATCACCAGTTCATAGCTGTGGCCTTCCAGATTCCAGTCAGAGATCTAGAGATTCTAACTAGGGAGTTCCTAATCTCTTATCTACCACCCTTGCCCCACCCCCCCACCCCCGGCCCTTAACTTTTCCCTAAACTACACAATCCCATGATCTGGGGGACTCAACTTGGGATCCCCATCCTTCCTCAGCCAAAAACCTCTACATCCCTGAATATCAGCGAAATACCAGTGATCCCCATCATCTTTTTTAACTATGAAGGTTAAGACTCCTAAACACTCCCCAACAATGCAGCCAAGACTTGAGACCCGGCTTTCTCTAATAGGAATTCTTGGAGCCTTGAAATTCTGCCCCATGCCAGTAACGATCTTGGAGTCAGACAACTTTCATCAGCCGCCCCCCCACACACACACACACATCTCAGCATCCAGAGCCCCCATCCCACCAGGCCCCACCCCCAGCCTCTTGGAGGAGTCAGGGATCCGAGTCTGGCAGAGCTCTGACCAGCTTTTCCTCCCATCCCCCGTCCCAAGCCTTGACCGCCAGCAGCCGGCTCCTGTTCCAGCCCGCTCAGCTCGGAAACAAGCATCAAAAACCCAGTCACCCTGATTGCCTGAGTCCCAGGTAGCTGACCTCAGCTCCCCCCACACCCCCACCAAGGCTCCTAGGGCTCCCAGCTGGGACCTTGCCCATTGACACCTTTCTCACTTCCCCTTTGAAACCCCCTCCTTTGCTCCGATTCCGCCTCACTCCAAATGGCCCGCCCAGATCTCATTCTCCTCCAGCCCTTCCTCCTTTGGGACCCTCTCCCAGGCCTGGAGCCACCTTCTTTTCCTTCTTTATCTATCGCAGTCTCTCCCGGATTCAGGCGTTCGGATCCCAGGGGTCCCGTTCTCCAAGCCCCAAGTCCAAACTCCGTCTCCCTCCAGTCTCTTCAGGAACGTATTCCCCGTTTCTGGGGACCCCTTCTCAGACACATCCTGCTCTTACCGGGCCCGGGCCCTCCCCCCTTCCTCCAGGACCGCCTCCCTCAAGGACCTGGCCTGCACCCTCCTCAGGGCTCACGGTCTCTAAGACTCGGACATTAAGAGTATAGTTGCCCCCACTGCAGGACCCTAGGACCCCGTCCTCCCGCATTCCCTAGGCCCAATGTCCCCCCACCCCTCATTGCCTCCAGAACTCGGGCGTCCTGACCGCCAGGATCCCACACCCCGGGGCCACTCAGGTCCCTTTTAGGCCCAACCCCCGGCTCCCAGACCCCTCAAGGGGAGCCCCCACTCCTTCCAGGACCCTCCCCTCGCGCTCACCTCGCTCAGGGCTGGGCGCACGCTCCGGGCCGCGGGCCCCGCAGCCGCATGACCGGCCCCGCGGCTTCCCCCGGCCGCCGCCGCCGCCACCGGGGTCGCCGGTGCCCGCGCCCCCCGCCCCCGCCCCGGAGCCCGGCGTCCCGGCCCCCTCCCGGCCTCCCACCCCCCACCCCCCGCGCCCGCGGCCTCACTCGGCGGACGGCGCCGGGAGCTGGGACCGGCGGCCGCTCATTGGCTACTGCGGAGGAGGGGAGGGGCGGGGAGGGAGGGAGGGGGAGGCTGCAGGGAGGGAGGGAGCTGGGCCTTGAGAATGGGGGAGGCAGGGAGGGAAGGAGAATAGAAACAGAGGCAGAGAGCCCGAGAGGGGCAGGGGCACACAGAGAGGCAGAGAGGCAGAGCCGAGGATCTAGAGTCCCACCGAGACCTCGAGGCTGAGAAATTCTGAGACTCGCAGGTCTGGAGACTGGGGGAAACACAGAGGTGGCCTAAAAGAGACAGAGAGAGAGAAAAGGAGAGGCAGAGATCAGGTCTAAGACCCCCGCTGCCCTCGGGCTCAGAGATTCTGGGGCTCTGGAAGTGGACAGGTCAGAGAGACAGAGAGACAGGGAGACCCTCACAGGCCCTGGGCTGAGAGAGGCTGAGACCCAGACACCTTGAGCTAGGGAAAGAGACAGAGAGAGACAGAGGGAGAGAGAGACCCTGAGAAGGAGAGAGAGCAGGGGCAATCCTGGGGCTCCCCTGATAAGGACTGGGGCTCTGGCCAGGCCTGGGGCGGAGCCTGGGGTCTGGGCGGCTGGAGGAGGCGGGAGGGGGCGTCCCGGGCCGGGGTCCCCAAAGCAGCAGGCGGGCGCAGAGCGGAGCCGGGTCCTGCGGCCGCCGCGGAGCCGGGAGCCGGGCCAGCCCCCCCCCACCCGCCGTGATGTCAGCGGGGCCACTCTTAAAGGGGCAGGCCTCCCGCCGAGGGTCGGAGCTGGGGCTGGGGGCCGCGGGCAGAGCATGGGGGTACGGCCCCGGTGCTGAGCGAACCAAGGGGAGCCCCAGCATCCAACTGGACCGAGTCCCGGAAACCCAAGAGCCTGCAGAGACGAAGAGACGCCGGGGCTCCCCGAGGGAGCCTGCGACGCTTTGGGGCTCAGTCCCCTCCAAACACACAGACATAGGCACACCATTCAACTGGCCTGCCCGGGTCCGGGACTACATTTTCCATCAGCCCTGGCGGTGAGGGGGCCGCACTTGGGGGGGAAGGGTCCGCCGCGGTGTCTGCTGGGAACTGTAGTCTGTTGGGACCGTTTTTTCCACCCCCCGCCCCCCTCCCCCGCAAGTGGGTCAAGGCAAAGAGGCCCGGAGGGCGCGTCGGCCTGTCTTCTGCCTCGCTGGCTAACTCTTAAGCTCACGGGCTCTGCTTGTTTGGTTTCTCTGTCGTGGGGTCTCCCAGGGATCACGTCTCCAGGTCTCTCCATAGGAGGTTTGCCTTTCATCTCCCCTCTCAGGACTGCCCCCACCCCCGCCCCAGTCTCTGGGTTCCAGTGTGGGTCTGTGAGCTTGTGTATGGCTCTGGGTGAGTCGGTGCATGCCTGGGTCTCTGCGCCGGGGGGGGGGGGGGGCGGTCTCTACCTGACACTCCCAGTGGTCTGCGTGTCCATCTCTACCTCCTTGTGCACGTGCCCACTTCGCTCCTCTCCGCGGCACTCGTGCCTCCCCCCACGCCCGGGCTCTGCTCTTTCCCTCTGGCGCTGTGGGTACCTTCTCCCCACTTTGTGGGTCTCTGTGCTTTCCCTCTCCCTCTGCCGCCCTGCCCCCAGCCTCTGTGTGTGTTTCCGTGTACAGTCACTGTCCCACCTCCACACCCCCTTCATTCTGCAAGCTTAGAAGAAAACATCCAAACACTTCAGCATCAGCATCCCAAATTTATTCTCCAGCAGCTGTGGCCGGGTGGGAGAGCCAAAGAGAAGAGTGGGCGCGGGGAGGAGGAGAGAATCCCGGAGAGTGGCAGGCACGCGGTACGGGGGGGGGGGGGACAGGAGGGAGGAGGGGTTCCGAGCAGGACTGGAGCCATGCACCTGGCAGGCGAGCAGTGATGGGTTTAGGGTGGGGGCGTCTAGAACAAAAGCTGATTGAGAACAGCTGGGGTAAGAATCCTTCATACATCCCAGGAATCCCTAGAGTGTAGAAGAGGAGCACTGGAGCATGGGGGCACAGCCTCCCACTTACTCCAGAATGGAGTGGAGATGGGGGGGGTCGGAAATGGGGGT